AAATATATTTGTCATTATAGGTACAGGTACAGGTACAGGTACAGGTACAGGTACTTGTACAAATTTGGAAATAGGTATAATGATAAAAAGGGGGGAGAGTTAAAAAAAAAGCTGATGGGCGATGCCGATCTTTGGGTGAAAAAGGTCTAGAAGGGGAAACGAAGGGAACGGGTGGGGAACGAGGGGAACGGGAGGGGAACGAGGGGAACGGTAGGGGAACTAGAGGAACTAGGGGAACGAGGGGAACGGGAGGGGAAGAGAGGGACAAGGAAAAGAAGTATTAAAACGAATAAAATGTAAAGTATAGGAGCAGAGATGACGACTATAAAAGAAAGAATGATAAGTTAGCCGGGAAATAAGAAAGGGTGCAACACATATTAAGAGAAAGAAGAAAATGAAAACTGAAGAGAAGAATATATAAAGGAAACAGGTTACAAAGAAAGAGAAAGAGGTGAATAAGGAGACGAAGGATTAAATATTTAAACAGAATGATTTCAGTTCCTTCAGAAATATTTCTTCTGTTCTATGTACGACAATAAGTCATTATACAGTTATTTTGATGATGAAAAAAAAACAATACAAACCGACATTTAAAAAAAAGCCTGAATCGATAAAATTAACCATCTCTAATTTGTGGGAGGACGAAAAGTCTAATTTTAGTAAAAATGTAATAAGATTTGAACTCTGTATATTAAACCTCTGAAGCTGATTCAGTTTCTCAGGGTGAGTGGATGAGAGAGGGTTGAAGGATGGAAGAGACGGATTCAATATTAGAAGGGTAGGCTTATACACAAACAGTACGTTTGTACTGCATGCAGTACATTATTCAGTACATATCATATTTAAACTATGAGTGCAGTATTATACAGACGAAGGAATTGAGTTTTTGCCTCACACAGAAATTTTCCAATCCCTATATCTCTCCAATCCGATGATGTAAATCTTTGATATTTCAAACTAAGATTATTTGATCTAATAGAATTCATAATTTAAAATATCAAGGTCTAAAACATCGGATTGGAAAGATAAAGGTATTAGAAAATCAGAGTTTGTTGCAAAAACTCAATTCCTTTATGTATCATTTGATAACAGTGCATAATAAATGTGTTAGCTAGCCGGTTGCTCCCTTTAAATTCACCATTTCTTCATAAATCTTTTTAATGAATAAGAACTAAGTTTTATTTTTGTACAAGGCTAAACTGCAATTTACGAATGGGTAAAGAAATCAAGTCTGATTTTTAAATTTCTTGTAAACCCAATGCCGTAGTCCGTAGAAATGTCAAATAATCCAAGTTTGAAATATTAAAGGTTTACACCATCAAATTCAAAGCAGACTCATTTTCTTTACGACATTCTATTTCAGAAAGATGTTTTGTTAAAAAAATTATGGTTAAAGAGGAAAAAAGGAATTTAGTCTTTGCCACAAACTATGACTTTCTAATCCCTATATCTTTGAAACCCGATGCCTTAAACCTTAGATGTTTCAAACTATGAATTCTGGTAGATCAAATAATCTAAGTTTGAAATATTAAAGGACAACAAAAAAATAGGGATGGTAAACTTTGAGTTTGTGGCAATGACTCATTTCCTTTAAACATTTTCCATTTTTCTGTTAGATCAAATACTTCTGAGATATTTTGAATATTTTAAGTTAACCGTTCAATTTGGTGTTAACCATTTAAATCAAAACTTGTCCAGCTTTAGGGCAATAATTGTGGTTTTGGGATATGATCATAAATACCCAAGTAGTGAATATATAAAATCATAACACTTGTTAGTCCATTCTGTCATTGGAAAACAATATCGTGCATGGCATTTTTTACAGTTGGACCCGTAAAACTGGGGAGTTGGACGACGATATTTAAGCAGTTTTGTTGTTGCATCGTTCAATCAATCTGTTTTACAATATTTAAAATATCTGCGAAAATGCTGCGCTTCACTTTTTTTGACTACTTCAAATCTTGACTTGAGTCTAAAAATCGTCTCCCTCTTCCGCAGCGCAGTTTCTGTGCCACATATTTTTTCTTGTATTGAACAAATTAGTCCAACTTGATAAATTACTTTCTGTAAAGTAAAATTTTGAGTTTGACAAAGGTTCTCAGATACACCTGTTGTTTTTAATTTGAAACCTTATGAAGCAGTTAAGTAATATTGCAGTGTTTACGGTAAACATATACAAAGTTTTTGCATCAAAGAATTGCACATAATCAAACATAATTAGATTAGAAATATATTTTATTTACATCTAAGTCTCTTAAGTTCTAGCTGGGAAAACTGGTTTTCTCCGGAAACTGAATTTATTCTGAAAAAGTCAAAGTAAGGTACTTTCCCAAAGGCATTTTCCCAAGCAGCAACTTACCAAGGCTATTTTCCCAAGTGGCTTATACTTCCCTAATGTGCAATTTCACAAGCTGCATCTGCCCATTGCCCAAGTCATCCCTAGCCACAGCGCTCGGCCTCTAGCTTGTTCTAGCTGCAGAGGACGGCCCCCTAGCCCATCCAAGCAGCATCGCTAGCGCCCTCCCCCATTGCAGCCTGCGCCCCCTTCCATTGCAGCCTTTGGAAAGTTGCCTCTTGGAATTTGTCCCTTAGGAAGTCGCCCTTGGGAAAGTACCTAACACCAAAAAGTCATCCCACTCACCGTAAAAATTTTGAGGGAGTGTTCGCGAAAAAATCCAGCGCCAGCCGTGAAAACAAGTTGTAAGCTGAATAGATAATCATCGATAATTTCTCGACGCATTCCTATATAGTTGATATTTCATAATATTTTTAATTTTATTTTTAATAAAATGATATTTAGCTCACAACTTGTTTTCACGGCTGTCGCTAGATGTTGGAGCATCGAAAAATTATCGATGATTAAAGTGCTTCGCGACCAAACCACTGGCCGTGAATTTATCAATTTATCAGGATAACCCTAATAGTATTTCCCCACGTCATAATTCAGCTCAGGTCGATTGGAACGTTCAATAGCCTCACAAATCCTTCGACTACTCTATCATCTCTTCGTCTCAGAATAAATCAGCGCTCTGGTACTGAACAAACGGTTCAATCTGAAAGATTGACCATATTAAGTATTTATTTAATATATACGAAATCAAATATGTACAATAAATCAGATTAAAAGTTACGACATTTACTCAAAAGTTATCAACTCGCATCATAAAAGCGAGATTACTAGAACTTAGCGCAAGACTTAAAAGTTTCTACCTTATATTTGCTCATTCAAAAGTTATTGACTCATACCATAATGGTGAGATTTACTAGATTTAACATATTCAAAAGTTATTGGTTCACAAATAAATATAAATTCAAAGATCTAATTTTTAAACTATAAACGTATTTAAAATCAATCTGCTCAAAAAAGCTTACTCTAGATTTAGGAAGTAATAGTCTCAAGATTTCGAGTAATCATAATGCATTAGTTTTGTCCATAAAATATACACAAATAAAGCTAAAGATTACCTAATAGTGCCTTAGCGAAAAAACGACGTAGGTATCTCTACAATGTATCAAGTGTAACTAACAAATTTGTGCAGATATATATGCATTTGACTAAATCTAAAAACCGGCTTCTTATGAAGATGCAGTACGAAACTTATACTGTCTGCCTCAGGGGCGCGGTAGAATTCCTTCAACATCAATAGGGGCACCTTGATCAGGACGAGACGATTTCGTCGCGTAACATAAAGGTTGTAATTTCTGAATCATTTTTTTGGAATTGAATTGATTTTTTTTACGATCCGAGTTGTATGTTGCAACCTTCTTAATTTGTATGGACGCTACGTTCTTCGGTATGAGTCGTTTTTAACAAATTTCTCCTAATAGACGCAACAGAAAGAAGTAAGATTAGTAGCAATTACCTTCGACAATTTTTCGCCGTAGGTTCATACCCCTTTTTATTTTTCGCGAACACTCACTTTTAAACCAAACTAATGTTGCACCTGTGGTTCTACAGTCAACAATTGAGGCCAATAGATTCGTTGAGCATTGTTAACGTATTTGAAAAAACTAACATTTTATTAAGATCAGAAAGATTTACAGAACAATCATTTGCAATGGAAAAAAAATTCTGCCAAGAACTGCGTCATAGTCATTTTTGCATAAATTAGAAAGAAATCTAATGCAAAGCTTAAAACACAAATCTACTAGCTAACATAGTTTTTACATGTAAACATTGTGAAATACTTTCAATCAAGCACCCTATGCGTATCTCTAGGCTATGACAGGCTAGGGGGCCGGGCACTGCGGCCACATGACCAGCTTTATTATGTGTTTAATTTGAGATGCATGTACAAAATTGATAGGAGGGGGGGGGGGTCCAAAAATCGTTCTCTTGGAAAATTTAATGTTACATGACACACCCTGTATCTTTAATTTGTTGTATTGTTTTTTGAAACAACCTTTCCCACTAGAATTTCTTTATTGTTGATAAAAAGATTATTATACAATAGAAATCTATTTCCGGCAGCTTTATCCACATAAATACATAAGCATCATGCATACAACCATTGTATTATAATTATATAATTTTGATATTTCTATTTAATATTATTTATTTAATAGAAATATATAAAATTTAGTTCAGTCGAGAACACAGTTAATTATCTTGTTATATCAGCTTATTTGAAAATTCTAGAAAATCTAAAAAGTTTAAACAATCGTTTTTACAAAAGTATAAATATTTTTCATGGTCTATGATGTTAGAAGAAATATCATTGTGTTCGACAAATAAAAATGACAGTTCATTTTATCTAAAATTATAAAAGAAGCATTAATATGTCTTAATTTTCTAATCTTTACAACCTGACGACACCTTTGATATTTCAAACTTAAACATTTTGATCTTACAGAATTCATAGATTAAAATATCAAGGAAATCGGATTAAAATGATTTAGAAATTAAAAAAGTAAATTTTGTGTTAAACACATATTTTCTTTACGGTGTTTTTTAAAAAACCTCCTAGAAACTTAGAATAGATTGCTAATGCGAGCTGTATTCGAAAGAAAAATTAGATTACGCTTTAATAGTACCCGAGATGAAGTTGATTGTTTATTAATATTTTCTGCTTGTTAGTCAGTAGCTATTACCATAGCTAAATTGACATTTTCAAATTGAGCTGTAAACCTCCAGCATGGTGAAGCGACATGAGCTATCTAGTCTAATTTATCTAGGACTTTTAAAGTTTAAAAAGTGAAAAGTAAAAAATCTATGTTTAATTTGTCAAATTGAATCGAAATTTACTGCTTGTTCATAGGTGAGGTTTCACTTCTTGCCTCTGATTGGTTAAATAAATATCAATTTGATTAATCTTGCCGCTGATTGGTTAAATAAATATCAACTTCTTGCCTCTGATTGGTTAAATAAATATCAACTTCTTGCCTCTGATTGGTTAAATAAATATCAACTTCTTGCCTCTGATTGGTTAAATAAATATCAATTTGATAAATCTCATGATACAATGAAGAGTAAAGGCCCATTACGGAAAGGGGTTTTAAACAGTAAAAAAGCACTTATATACACCTTAAATTTGATTTCACTGTGGGAGGGAGGGAGGGGGGGATGCCCTCTACCCATAGTTATGGCCTCTGAAGAATTGGGCAGAAAAATATCGCAAAATGATTTAATTTTAATTTTGTTATGAACAACTTGTTTGATAAATTCTGAACGAATTTTCTTATATTCTGTTTCTATTGCATGATGATTAACATGACTGGAGAAACAACTTTTCCACACATTGCCTTGTGTGAACACATTGATATTTACACAGGGAGAAATTATAAACACAGTATTTGCAGGACTGATGATGCAGATGAGAGATTAAAGGTTTTCATTCTTTCCTCAGTCTTTATCCTCAGCACCATCCTTATCGTCATCATCTGCCTTAGGAACAAATCAATAATTCTCATCCGTCGATAAAAAAACATTCTATTAAAATCTATATGATAAAGCTCTTCGCTCATATATATATATATTTCCTTGATTTGAGTACCCTGGATTTTTTTATAACATTTGATTTTTTTAAATTTGATTTTTTATTTAAAATTTTAATTCTTTCAAAAGCTTTTTTTTAAAAGAAAACTAGCTTGGGAACAAAGGTTTGCCTGACAACTATAATGTAGGGCGACCAACTCAACCAAGAATTGTAAAACCAAGTTAAGAACATTCCCGTGGCTCGACTGAGTTTTCCAATAAAAAAGTTGAGGTTTGATCGAACATTTAAACCGACAGACAAACAGAGACGACTAATTTATATAATAACTAGCTTTGCCTCGAAATTAAAATTGCCCTATTAAAGTCAACCCTCTTATTTAGTATAAGTATTAATTATTGATTAATTTTGATAGTTTCTTCTTGGCTTGCAATCAACCAAACCTGGAAAGCTTAAACCAGGAAAACAAGATCTCATCAGATAATTCAGTTCTCTATTCTCCAGGTATCCTAGATGCTACCGGAACACTGGAACCTAAACTATGTCCAGTCCATGGAACTCTGATGGAGATCATACCTACACCAGAAACGGTAAAGATGAATTTAAAGAAAATTCACAATTTTATAGATTTCCAGTCATTCTCCTAATGCAAATTTTGCGCATTTTTAATGTAATTATACTACCACGTTCTTCGATACACTCTAAATTTTGAAATTTAAAAATCGCTTATTTGGCAGCAAACAATGTATGGCTCCCAGATTGCGACAAAGAAAACGCTTATATTTAACAAAAAATCGCTTATCTGGCAACCATTCAACTGATGAGGAAATAACTTTCAAAACATTAAGATAAAAAACATTGGAACAAATTAGGGTACCGCAATAAGTTACAAATTACGTGTGTATTATCGTTCTCAGATACGATTATTCGGTTAAATAACTATTGATAAATTCAGATTCATCTAAAACATTTGCAGCAAAGAAGGATAAGTTTCGGAGAGTGATTATATTATCGTTTGATCTTAAATACGGTTAGACGTTATTATAGGAATACATTCAGACGAATCTAAAACACTTTTGAATGCCGCAAGTTACATGATAGAGTTGATACCTCTTTTTGAATTAACTTAATTATTGAAAAAAGTAGTAAATTATAATAATAATCATGATTTCAAGTAGGCTCTTAGTAATATAGGTACAGTGGTCTGCGTTTATATCAATACAATAAAGACAAATGTTGTATTTAAGTTGTGATTTCTAATGACATGTTTAACCCTATTCCTGCTGGGGGAAAAATTCAATTTTCGCAAATTTGCAAATTTTTTTGCAGATTCTAAAAGTAGAGCACAAGAGCTTTCTAATGATGTATCATTTGTCATATTTGGACATAAAACATGGGAATTAGAGGGGGGGGGGTCAAATTGACCCCCCCAGCGTATCCTGGTTTTCAAGTACCCCAGCAGGGATAGGGTTAAGCAACTAAACAAAGAGAGGCTGTTAATTGAGAGCTTATCTTTGTTTCCATGTTTTCGTGTATCCATGATTTTTTAAAAGCTTGCTAGAAATCAAAATTAAAATCGAAAGTCGTCTTCATTGTAATGATTTATACGAAGAGAACTATATTTTAAGCAGTTTAGATACAATTTAAAATTCTTTTCACGAAGTTAGTTAAGATATTTTCACTGATAACCCAACTTATTTTGAACAAAAATATGTTAAATATCTAAAAGCTAAAGCTAACCGCAGTGCGTAAAATAAACTTTGCCTTGAGCTTTAAAAGATAAGACACTGTTTTTAAATAAGAAACATGTAACCGTATTGTATAATGTTCTATGCATGGCAAATTAATATATTTAACACCCTATCCTTGTTTTATGTAGGATTAGGGAACAAACATAGTTTTATTTACTCTGCAAATTTACAGGCTAGAGCAAAACCTTCATTATATTAGAAAAATTAGTTTGAATACAATTGGTAGAAAAGTGTCAGCTCAATATTTTGTGTGATCCTATATACATATTATTCAAAGCACATTTTTTATTAATTGAATTTCGTTTTATCATTTTAGGTTTGTGAGATTCAGAATACCCAACAGTGGAGGAAGGATAAAATCCGTCCCGTTCAATCTCTCCAACCTCTCTCCGTCTTTAATCTTCTTCCTCAAACTCACCCTGCTGAACAGTGAACATCTCTTCTCCTCCAACCCTGCTGAACAGTGAACATCTCTTCTCCTCCAACCCTGCTGAACAGTGAACATCTCTTCTCCTCAAACCCTGCTGAACAGTGAACATTTCTTCACCTCAAACCCTGCTGAACAGTGAACATTTCTTCACCTCAAACCCTGCTGAACAGTGAACATTTCTTCACCTCTAACCCTGCTGAACAGTGAACATTTCTTTACCTCCAACCCTGCTGAACAGTGAACATTTCTTTACCTCCAACCCTGCTTAACAGTGAACATCTCTTCTTCTCCAACCCTGTTGAACATTGAACATCTTTTTCTCCTGCAACCCTGCTCTGAACAGTGAAAATTTCTTCACCTCCAACTCTGCTAAACAGTGAACATTTCTTCTCCTCCAACCCTGCTGAACATTGAACATCTCTTCTCCTCCAACTCTGCTGAACATTGAACTTTTCCTTCAACCCTACTGAACAGTGAACGTCTCCTCCAACCTTGCTAAACAGTGAACTTCTTTTCCAACCCTGCTGAACATTGAACATCTCTTCTCCTCCAACCCTGCTGAACATTGTACATCTTTTCTCTTCCAACCCTGCTGAACAGTGGATATCTCTTCACCTCCAACTCTGCTGAACATTGAACATATCTTCTCCTCCAGTAATGCTGAACAGTAAACATCTCTTCTCCAACCCTGCTGAATAGTTAACTTTTCCTTCAACCCTACTGAACAGTGAACGTCTCCTCCAACCTTGCTAAACAGTGAACTTCTTTTCCAACCCTGCTGAACGTTGAACATCTCTTCTCCTCCATCTCTGCTGAATAGTAAACAGCTCTTCTCCTCCAACCCCGCTGAATAGTAAACAGCTCTTCTCCAACCATGCTGAACCTCCCAGTCCGTCTGTGCTCATATATCGTTTCTTACGTAATAATCCTACGTAATCTTTTATTCATGTTTATCAGAACTTAATTTTTTTAAACTCCTCTCAAAACCTTTTCATCTTATTCTACTCCTGTTTTATTTAAATTTCCTTCCAACAATCCTTCTATCCTTCTCGCTTTGTCCTTGTCCTATTGTATCTTTGCCTTATCCTTGTCTCAAGCCTACATACTATCCTACACATTGTGATACTTCTCTCTCACTCACATGGTTCTTTTTACTTATATAAATACATCTATGTTTAACTTAAAAAGATTAAAATTCCTGAGCTCGCTATCTTTTCTCTTTTAAGTTTCAACATTTGTTTGCCAAGTGTATTTAGAACTATCAGAGATAACTATTTCTGAATGAGTCAAAAAAAAATTTAAAAAAATGCCAACTCTATACAATAAATATTATTATAATTAAGCTTGGTTTAGAATCATTGTAACAGTTCAAACATTTAAAACATATTTTTTGCCTTCTTTAGATTTGTCTTTTTCCAGTTGGGGAGAGCAGAGAATTCCTCTCTGTCCAGACCAAACACTTGAACAAATTCTATATCTGAGAGATATTCTTCTTTCCGGGACGGATCAATTGTCTCAGGACACTCAGGCCCAGAGAGGACGGAGTAGGGGTAAACTCCGCTTCCATATCCGTTATATCCAGCACTATTTCCGTTGGTATATACATCAGCTGTAGGAGTAAGGTTGGAGTAAAGTTCATCAACATCTCCCCAGAACTCCTCGTCCCAGCTACCAAAGTATCCGGTGAAACTAATCGGTTCCCGACCCTGCTTCACGATAATAACAGGTGTATCTACATCTCTCTCTATAGGACAGGTTTCTAGATACTCCCTAGCAATCCTGGTGCTCTCATGCTGCTCAGTTCTATTAGAGGATAAACCGAACCAGAGGAATATTGAATGCCCGGCGTCTAGAATCATAACATCCTCCTCCAAGAGATCCATCTGCTCAAACTCATGGATTTCCTCAACTCGGACATTTCCAGATGCATTGGAGCACTGGAACAGTCTTGGTTCTTCAATATTAGTTCCTTGCTTGCTAATCTTCTCATCAAAATAGGATTCCTTGCCTCCTATAGAAGTCCAGAAGTCAGATTTCTCCTGACCTTCAAATATTATATTGGGGTCATCACTCAAGGAGAGAGCCAAGATTTTAGCCATTTCTCTTTCGTCTCCTGTCGATCCTTTTCCAAACCAAACCGTCACTTCTCTTTCCAGAACCAGGAGAAAACAATCGTTCGTATTTAGAGATGCTGCTCTTAGCTCTTCTTCCGTTGCCTTGGTGGAAAACCTGTTTGATCCTCGAACCTGAAGAAGATAATTGGCAGGAATTCCACGATCTACTCCGTCCTCTCCGTCAAATACTGAAGCTTTCCCTCCGTTAAAAACCCTCATTTGACCGGCAAACATAGCTAGGAAGTGCTGGGGTTCTTTCCCTTGGACAACTCTAATCTGAACAGGAAGTCCATTTAACCTGTCATCCAGCTCCACAGTTCTGAGTGCTGCTGCTCCCTGCTCGTCTTGGCTAGAATGGGATCCCATCCAGTAGTAGATGATATAGTGATCCTTCTTACCATCATTGTAAGCATAGAGGATAACATAACAGTCTCCGGAGAAGAATATTCCATGATTTTTCTCTGGAACCGCAACAAGATCAAACATTTCAACCCTGTATACTTCTTTTACTCCGGTTCCATCATCAACCATGCCGTTGGTTGCAGCTATACGTGGGTTCTCATGTAGAGTCTCAGCATCAAACCTTGTCTGAACAGTTCTAGCAATACCTTTTCCAAGACCGCTGGTTGAAACCTTTCTTCCTAGATTAGTCGTCTGATCTTTATCCTTCCATTGTTGGAACAAAGATTTAAACTCTGATGGTTCTCCACCATCTATAACCCTGGTAACAGGAGTTCCGGATTTAAGGTTCTTGGCTTTAATAAAACCTTGCGCATTCCTCATTGCCTCTCTTCTCTCTCCCTCACTAGCTCTCTTCCCGATCCAGACCCAGATACCATAGTTCCCATTATCAACCAGGAATGAGTCCTCGGATTTTAGATCCTCCTGAAACAGAGGTCCATCCTTTACCTCTGTAAGAACCAGCTTTCCTTCAGAGTCGGAGCATCTGTAGAGTTTAATCCTTCCCCTAGTCTGACCATCCGCCTGGTCCGGAGCTGATCTTGCATCCTTGATTTCAGCCTTAGCAGATAAAGGAAGAAGTTGGTTAAATATTTCTCCGTGTTCTGATTCTGAACCTTCATTCCCGTCTTCCAGGACTACTATCTCGTATCCTGGATCTCCGTGTTCCTCCTTCAAGGTTTGAGCAAACTTTGCTGCCTGTAGTTTTTCATACCTGTTAGACGAGTTTCCTTGCCAGACAAAAACAACATTTGCTTCTGGAACATCCAGGACGTAGGAATCTCCGTGATTGATCTCGCTCCAACCTATAGTTCTGGTCTGGAGAATCAATGGTTTCCTCTTTCCCTTTACCTGGAACAGTTTAGGAGATACATCCTCGATGTAATGACTCAATCCAGACTTGACTCCGCCATTCAGATATCTGACCCCTGTCTTGAAGTAGGAGATAAACCTGGAGGACTCCTGTCCCTGCACCTCTCTATGCTGTACTGGATATCCACCCAGATGTTCGTCTAGCTCCACAGTCTTGTATGCAGCTACAGCAGCTTCATCCTGGGATGCATGTTCTCCCAACCAGAAGTGAAGATGTTGTTCAACCTTACCGTGGACTCCAGGTTTAACCTTTACTCCACCGGATTCTCCGGATAACGAGGAAGAAAAGATGATGTAAGCATCTCCACTGTAGAATTTGCCCCAGGCTTCTACTGGAACCACAACCACGTTCATGTCTTCAATCCTCCAGACATGGAACCCAGTATGATTCGGAGTTAACCCCTAATCCAAATCCATAGGTTTTAACCATTAAAAAAGGTTCACTTTCCAATGAGAATTACTTATCGTTGTTAGTATTCAAAAAAAGGTTTAAAAAAGTATTATGCTGATTTTATGAAAAATGTATATATATATGTATATATATATAGAAGTGTGTGTACATAAATTTTAGATTATAAACATCAACAATGCACCACAGTACAGTTTTAACTTTTAATTAAGATATTTTAAACTTTGAAATCTGTTAAAACAAAAAATCTAAGTTTGAAATATCAAAGGGGTGCACGATCAGGATGCAAAGATATAGGGATTAGAAAATTTGAGCTTGCGACAAAAACTTAGATCACTTCGGTCATTTTCTGAGTCTATAAATTGGCATGGCCATTTTTATTTATAAATAATTTGTTAATAAATTCTATGAATTCCTTGAAGGCGGGATCCACGACAATATTCTTGGCCATGTTGTTGAGAGGACTCGGAGCTTGCTCTCAACACAACCTGGATAAAAAGATAATGGAGAACTGAAAGCAATTATTACAATGTTATTTCTTATCTTATCTTTTAAGCATGACCGTCGATAAAGAGAGAAAGATAAAAGAGTGTCCTAGATGTTAAAAGAAGAGAAAGCTAAAAAGAAAGGATCAAAATGTTCATAACAATTCGAATACGAATACAGAAAAAGAGTAGATATATGGTGGTTTACTAAATTAAAATCCGGTAATCTTTTTAAGCTCTAGGTTTTTTGACCTACCCTGTAATATTTCAATTCGAAAGTTTTATTCTTTAATGAGATCATAATTTCTTATCTCGCTCTTACTGCACCAGAGAAAATATGACGTTGATGAAACTTTTAATCGAAATATTATTTCCATTTAAGTTTGATCAGTTAAAAGTCTGTATACACTATTCACTGGTCATTATTATAGGTTTAGCACGTATCTATAATCTGAGGTTTAGTAGCAACAGTAGCAGCCTATTACATTTCAAATCTTAAAGGGACCGTTCACTTAATTGGGTAATTTCAGGGTAAAATAAACAGCCTATGCGCTGTTGATTGGTAATAGTCTTACTTTTCAAAGACAACTGTGACCGAAGAAAAAGCCGATTTTTCGTTCAGAATTCGAGCGCAAAGGGACGGTCCCTCTCTAAAGACACTATTTGATGTTTTATTTCAGTATTTTGTGGATCAAAATATATTTCGAATATAAAATAGCTGCTGTTACTGAAAAAACATCAAATAGTGTCTTTAGAGAGGGACCGTCCCTTTTCCGCTCAAATTCTGAACGAAAAATCGGCTTTTTCTCCGGCCACAGCTGTCTTTGAAAAGTAAGACTATTAACAATCAAGAGCGAATAGGCTGTGTAGTTTACCCTGAAATTACCCAAATAAGTGAACGGTCCCTTTAACCTGTAATGGTTTTCTAAAATACATATATCGACTAGGGAAAGGAACTGAGTTTTTGTCACAAACTCTGATTTTCAATAATCCGTATATCTTTGCAACCCAATGCCATAACCTTAAATATTTCAAACAATGAATTCTGGATAAAAAAATTCTTAGTTTGGAATATCAAAGTTTACACCATCAGGTTAAAAATATATAGGAATTAGAAAGTTTTAGTTAGTGGCAAAAACTCGATTGGTACTTTTTCAAATGAGCCATGCGGTGCGTTGCAATATCATTAGTTTCAAAGATATACGGAAGAGTAAATAGAGTTTGTTGCAAGGGTTAAGTTTCTTTCATGGGATCTTGATCTGGAGTTTTTAACGAATTGAAGGGTGAACACTATATCTGTCTTTCAGATTTTTTTCCAAAGCCAAAGAAAATTGAACAAAATTAATCTTTATACCGGCAAAATATTTAGGTCATGGAACAGGAAGGGATAAAACATCCCTCGAGAAATTCTGATAAGTAAAACCGTTTTGAAATTGTTTTGAAATAAAAACAAACAACTTTGTATTTCTCACTCTTGGGTGTAAAATTTAATTTTAAGACTTAAAGAGACTGTCCTTGTTATATTTTGTAGAGATACCACAGTTTAAAATAATTAATTTTAAATCTTTGTAAATAAAAAGTCAGTTGAAGTTAAAAATTACGAAAATTTTGTTCGCAATAAAACTATGAACAGAATATTGATATATTTTACGAAGTTTCAGTTTAGGAATTTCGAACAAAATACTAGGGTTTATTCTTTTAGGTAGTGCTCAGGTGCTTAGGATATGCTCAGCGTTGAATGTTTAAAATGAGGTTTACAAGAACTGAGAAACCATAGAGAAAATAAAAAAGACTTTTATAAATACTGTTAACAAAAGTCGTCCTCCATGTTCGTACTTCTAGGGTTTTTTCTACAAAGAGATTCGAGAATTGCAGATCAAAGCAATATTTTGAAAGTATTGTGTGGACTTTAATCAAATAAAAAAAATAATGCTATGATCGTTCTGAGCAATAGAGATGAGATAAAAAACACATAATTAATGAATTATACAAAGTAAGTTTTTTACATTCCATTTTTAAAATGCATTTTTAAATCTTCTTTTATAAAAAAAAATATTCGTTTCGCAAAAATATGTCTGTAAACTTTAACATTTTAATGCATATTTATTATTCAAACCTTGAGATAGATAACGAAAATTCTGCATATTTTTGTATAATCACATTTCCTATTTTTGTATAATAACAAAAAATTCTTTCATCATTGTTTGAGAATTATTACATCCTATCAAAGTAAAAAATAGTTTTTGAATTTTCGAAACTCTGAAATGTTTTTTAGTGTTGTACTCGGGAATATTTGATAAAAAATTATATCGTTTTTTATAATCTTCAGGCTTTGAACTATTTTTTATGTATTTTCAAACTGAAGTCTTGGGAATTAGAATAATGAGATTGCTTATTTAACCCCACAGAAAAAGTATTTCAACCTTCATTCATAAAAATCCTTCACATCTTCGCCTGATATCATCGTTAAGTAGATTTTTAGAAGAAGTTCGGGTGCATTTAGAGATTGCAGTTTGAAGATATATTTTCTGGGTTAAAAATACATTTTACAAGATGAATTCTAAACACCAGGTATAAAGATATATGTAGAAAACGACGTTTAATGTATCTGTTCTATGTATTATTCTTAAATTATTAACACCTAATAAACATGCATCAATACAATACGAATTAGAAATAATTACTCTACCCAGGCTTATAACAATGTTTGAAAGAAGAATATCATTATAAAGTCTGTAGAGTGTATACTGCAGACTGGACTATAGGACCAGGTATTAGATGTTACTGACCCTTACAACATTTATTTTCATTGTTTTCATTTAACACTCAAGAATAAATATTCTTCATTATATTATCCGGCGTAAAAATTATCAAAATTAACTTTGATTATGTTATTCACTGAAATGATGATTTTACAATGCCGGATTAAAAATTGTAAAAAATCAATGTCTGATAAGTTAGAACTATAAAGTTCATAAACTAGAATTTAAATATACATTTCGATCTCGGCTTCCAGGGGGCTTCGCGCACCTTGTTAAACAAATCTACTGTTAGGAAAACCAATATTTTTCCAAAATAAATATTTACTCAATAATTGAGTGCATCTTCCCAAAAACATATTATATAATCTATATATAAATTTGGCTTGTCTGTCTGTTTGTCTGTCTGTTTGTATCCAATAAACGTCAAAACGGCTGAACCGATCGGGCCCAAATTTTTTGTGGGACATCACGTGACCACAGGGAAGGTTTATGAATGATCAAAATTTCAAATATTTGTCTCCATCAAAATTCGATCTTCATTAAATTTTTGAAAATTTTGAAAATCCACGAAATTTTTTGTGAAAATCCGCAAATTATTTTTGTTTTGTTTTACGATGTACACAAAGAGAACATGTTCACAATTAATTTAGAAGATGTGCGCGAAGCGCCCTATAAGGCTAGTAATCTATATATACTTTGCTTGTCTGGGGGTCTGTTTGTTTGTTTGTATCCAATAAACGTAAAAACGGTTGAACCGATCAAGCTCAAAATTGTTGAGACAACTCACGTGACCCCAGGGAAGGTTTATGGATGCTCAGAGTTACAAAAATTTGTCTCAAAAATGTTTGATTTTGTAAAGTTATTAAATATATGCATTGTTTCTTATTGTACAAAGATAAGATTCGCACAAATAGAGCCACAGTTAAAAATTATATTAGAAAATGGCACTAAGCGGCCCTAGGTGCCTAGTATTCCAAAATTTAACAAATACCTGCAAAATCATCAATGAATTTCCTTTCTAAAAGGACTAAAAGCGTAATTTCAAGTGATCCTTTAAGCAAAGATGGTGATGCCCGATTCACAACGGTACCCTTAAAAGCCTTTTATAATCAAGTATTAATTATATTTGCAATGTTCAATATTTTAAGAAGAGTTTATTTTCGTTTTTGGTTTCTTTACAAAAGTGAATGCAAAAGTGAAATTACGATTACAGTCCCTTAAAATTGGAGGAAAAAACTTATTCAGGAAAAAAATACAGTACAAAATTGCTTTAAAAAACGTAATGTAAAACAAATATTCTTTTTATCAAATTCACAAAATTTATCAATTTAAGATAAGAGAAAAATTCTCCGCTTTAAAGATTATTCTCGAACAAAAATATTTTTTGAGAAAGATTTTTATAATTTTTAAATCATAAACTAGGAATTAAGAAAATTTACTTTAAAAATCTTGAAGTAAATTCTGTTCTTTATCTAGGTTATATTTACAGACATTATCATTATCTGAGTAATAATGCGGGACATGTTGTAATTTTTCTTCTATACTCAGAAGGATCAATTAAGTCAATTTTGTTCCTTGCCTCTGCTGCATATCAATTTTGTTCAGAAAGGAACTGAGTTTTTGCCACTAACTTTTTCGAACACCTATATCCTTTGCAACCCGATGTCAATTGTGAACATGTTCTCTTTGTAAACGTTGTGAAACAAAAACAGAAGAATTTCTGTTAGATCAAATACCATCATGTTGCAAAGATATAGGGTTAGACAATTTGAGTTTGTGGCAAAAACGCACTTCCTTTGTTTAAAGGCCACGCCGAGCCTGTCTGTAAATCGGTATATCTTTATATGGGTCATTTAAAATAACGTTATAATTGTCTCTTTGATTCAGTTTTCGGTTTCCAATCTCCAGATGATAATATGTTTATTTCCAGTTTCCAGTTTATAGATCCCTGTATATCAGGGAACCAGGAATATAAGATGTGAACTTGTCACCTCGCGGTAAATATCTGCATCTCTCTATATATGTTATATAATTGATGAGAGCTGGGTGGGATGAGTGGATAATTGTGTTAATCTCCAGACCCGGAGAAACTAAACAACGGAAACCTTTCACAATGCACTATAGAGATAATATGTGTGTAAACAAAACCTTTGATGAGATTTGGCATTTTGGGAATTTTCTAGTTTTTCTCATGTGTTTCTGAACTTTTCAATTGGTTTGCCAAGTTTGGGGATAAAGTTGCATGGTATATTGAGAGATATACCGGGTATGTATAGGGTTGAAGTATATACCCGGAGCTGGCAGAACGCCACCGCAGCCTCCGAACCTTGCTCTCTCTCTCCCTGCATCATTTTCCTACTGCACTGTTCCACCCAGGGTGGATTCGTAGTACACTCTCAACCCGGAGATATACAGACCCGATTCTTCTCCAGAGTTAAAGTGAGTCTAACCTCTGGTCAGAAACAGTGAAATATTTAGACATTAAAATATATTTTGGTTCAACCTCGATTTAAAAAAAAGTCCTATCATTGGATTTTTGCAAGCTTCGATTCTATTTGAAGTATTATCAACTTATATGATAAACATAAAACCCTAATGTTTGGGTAATACGGTTTACTTTTTCATTAATCTGAGCAATAAAATGTATATTTTATTACTGCTGGGTTACCTGGTATTAATATTTCAAGATAACAAGGTTTAATTAAACAGTGCACGGTGAACATTTAATTAATAAAAATTTACATAAAAACAATGAAAATCACTTATCATATCTTATTTCGTTGACCCTATCATTCAGAACACTCTTACTCCCCTCCTCCCTCCTCCCTCACCCTCCCACCCTCCTTTCTCTTCCTTCTCCCCTTCCTATTACTCTCCACTTCCTCATATCCTACTTTCCCGTCCTTCTCCCCTTCCTACTCCTCTCCACTTCCTCATATCCTCCCTCCTCCCCTCCTCTTTCATTTTCCCTCATATTCTCCTTCCTTCTCCATATCCCCCTCCCTCCCATTCACAGCAAACTCATCAAAATTCCTTTAACACTATCAATGTTATAACAAGTGTGAGCTTATACCCCAGTTGAGAAATTTAATGGATTTCGTTTTTAAATATTGATTTCAAGTAGATTCTTTCAATGGATGAGTGAAAAGAAATGAGATTATACAGACGAATAGAAGAAATTCTTCTAATTTTTTCAAATAATTGGTTTACACTCTTATTTTGCCCTCTAAACTACGAGCAAATATGTATGCTAACCCACAGAGGATGAGCTTTTAAATGACGACCTGAAAATTTTTGAATACAACTACTGATTACTATCAATTTTGTGTTTCTGTCGAAAATACAGTGAGAACCAGAAAACTCTGGAATAGGAAGTCGACTTCTAGACTCGAGTTATGACTTTAGATAGTGCAATGAGCATGAGACACAAAAGTTGTGCAATGAAAACAGACCCATTTCACATCATAAGAGATTTAATAACTTGATTTAAATTAGTTGCTATGTAACAACATTAAATGCTCTTCAGTATGGCTTTATAATGTCGTCTTCCTATTCTACAGTTTTCTGGTTCTCACTGTAATCCTTTGATAATATTAAATGATTTTGAAAAAGGAGAAAAATAATTGAAAAAAAGAAGAAACAAGTTTACAGTTGTATGGAACTATAAATGTTAAAAAGAACACTGAATACATGCTGTAAAGACGACTTTAAAGTCTCCTTCTTACTGGGAAGCTCTGTATGAATGTTCGTCGAGACTTATTTATTTTTGGATTAAACTTTTCAATTTACAAAAGAGATTTTAGATTTTAAATAATACTTTAAGCTTACTTCCATCCGAATACTGCCGAGATCTGTATCTAGTTTTGTTGAATTAGAATTCAAATTTCAATATTTCAATATTCTGAACAGAAAATCTCATTTCCTTCGCGATTTATCTGCATTTTTGGTTCTAAAGGAACTGAGTTTTTGCCACAAACTCAAATTTGTTAATCCTTATATCTTCGCAACCTAATGCTGCAAACCTTTCATATTTTAAACTTAGACTATTTGATCTAACAGAATTCAAAGTTTGAAATATCAATATCTAAGAAATCAGGTTACAAAGATATAGGGATTGACAAATTTTGCGTTTGAGGTGAAAACTCATTTCCTTTAAAAAATTAAAAAATCGTCGTTTCTTTTATGGTACAATGTACATTGTAAAGAAGTTTTATATTTGACTTTTTTGTGAAGAACATTATTTATTAAAATGGTTTTCTTAGTCTGTTGTCGTAGGTTAAAATATGGAAGTTTATAACCCTAGTATAAAGAGTAAATAATGGAAGTTTATTACCCCAGTATAAAGAGTAAATAACGGAAGTTTATTACCCCAGTATAAAGAGTAAATAATGATAGTTTATAACCCCAGTATAAAGAGTAAATAATGGAACTTCATAACCCCAGTATAAAGAGTAAATAATGGAAGTTTATTACCCCAGTATAAAGAGTAAATAATGAAAATCCAACAGATTGTAAAGTTTAACATTTTCCTAGTTTAATTTAATTGGAAGAACTTGTTTGCAACAAATATTAAAGGAAGGAGAGAATATATAAAGTGTAAGGTTGAGTGCTTAAACATCTTTATTTTATGGATGAACGAAATTAGAATAAATATTACTCTGGTTGGTCGGGTTCGGGTATAATTAGGTTAAGATCAAAGTCGCTGGATAGCTGCTACAACCCTGGTTTAAGTCAGTGAACAGAAAATGTATACGCTGCTATAGAACTGGTTCAGATCATGAGACATTATGGTTAGCTCCAGGTGCCAATTGTACACCTGGTATAGAGTTGGTTCAGATCATGAAATATTATGGCGACAGGTCCCCAGTATGCTGTAGACCTTGTTAAGATCATAAGATATTATGGTTAGCTCCCAGAGCCCAGTATACAATGCTAAAGACCTGGTTTAGATCATGAGATATAATGGTTAGCTCCAGGTGCCCAGTATACTATGATAAAGACCTGGTTAAGATCATGAGATATTATGGTTAGCTCCAGGTGCCCAGTATANAATTTCAATCATTCATAAACCGTACAGTACATATGGTGCAGTACACTACCCTTCATAACACTTGGTACAGTACACTACTCTTCATAACACTAGGCACAGTACATATGGTGCAGTACACTACACTTCATAACACTTGGTACAGTACAATAGGTGCAGTACATTATTCTTCATATCACTAGGCACAATACATAAGATACAATAAACTACTCTTCGTAACACTAGGTACAGTTCAATAGGTGCAGTACACTACTCTTCATAAAAGTAGGTACAGCAAATCTAGGTCAGTAACTGCTCTTATTAATAAAGTGTCAACTATAAGACTGTACACTTCAGCGAGTAAACCAGGTTTAAAATCCAATCCTGGTTGCAGAACTAGCTGTTAACAGAAATTTTCGAACGATTTTGGTTCATCCTAAACACTATTTTAGTCTTGCTAACATTTCTTTTAAAATAACACAATTTTAAAAATTGATTCTGATATCTGTTTAGGCATCTATGTCACATACCTCATTTTTCTCGAGGACTTCAGGGATAAGGTAATGAATAAATTTCTAGGTTACTGAAATATGTCCTAATAAATATAATTTCTTTCATTATTTAACTTTCAAATCTTTCTGCGATATCTAGATTATGCATACTTTATAATAAAGATTAGGAGTTTTAGTCATGAAAATAAAGATTCTAAAATAATTATTTCCTCTGGAAACATTTCCATTACTTTACAAAGGTATGGTAGGTTTAAATATATATTATATACAATATATTAAAAGTATTTAGAGATTTATAACTCTCTTTTCACCTTTATACTTGTAGAATTTATTATTGNCCGGAACCAAGTCTTAATGGGATTCTTTGTCCACATTCTAAAGAGGGGTTGTTATCAACCTTGATTAGGAATCAATCGGTACTTTTCTTATTTCTCTCTGATATGAGAAGATGATAAAAAACTGTCGGTTTTCGGTGTTTTTACTATCTCAAAAATATCTTACATTTCTTTTTTTTCGCGAACATATAATAACCAATACACAGTTCTCATGGATTCAGCCAAATTTCACTTATCGACAACCTATACTATGATGCAATGTAGCTGTACATTTCCTTATTTTCTTTTTGGCTGAAATGCCAATTATGTAGTTTCTACTATATATCTTTTCTATATAATTATTCTACTAAAAATCTCGTATTCTCAACTATGTATCTATATTACGTATAATTATTCTTCTAAATATATAGTATTCTCAACTATATATCTCTATTCTGTATAATTATTCTACTAAATATATAGTATTCTAAACTATATATCTATATTCCGTATAATTATTCTACTAAAGATCTATTATTCTCAACTATATATCTCTATTCTGTATACTTATTCTACTAAATATCTTGTATTCTCAATATTGTTAATTGTTTATTAAAAACCAATTCTAACTCTGTCGATATTCGGTAAGCTACAGCTGATAGGCATTAGGTACGAGAAAAAAATTCAAAGTTTAGAATTATAAACTTTTACTAAAAGTCAATAAAAAATATGTTTGGAAATTGGAACACTGAATTTTTTTTCAGTTTTAGTAAATATTAGCTTTAAGCTAATAAGATCAAAGAAGCTGTTAATTTAAACTTGAAACTATGAAGAAACTGTTCAAATATTAGCTTGAAACTATAAAGAAACTGTTGAAGTATGATCTTGAAACTATAAAGAAACTGTTGAAGTATGATCTTGAAACTATGGATACTGTTACTCTAGGTGCTGGAGGATATGTATGGTATCCTACCCTGTACTATCCCACCTATAGATACTGTTACTCTAGGTGCTGGAGAATATGTATGGTATCATACCCTGTACTATCCCACATATAGATACTGTTACTCTAGGTGCTGGAGGATATATATGGTATCCTACCCTGTACTATCCCATATATACATAGATACTGTTACTCTAGGTGCTGGAGAATATGTATGGTATCCGACCCTGTACTATCCCATATATACATAGATACTGTTACTCTAGGTGCTGGAGGATATGTATGGTATCCTACCCTGTACTATCCAACCTATAGATACTGTTACTCTAGGTGCTGGAGGATATATATGGTATCCGACCCTGTACTATCCCATATATACATAGATAATGTTACTCTAGGTGCTGGAGGATATGAATGGTATCCTACCCTGTACTATCCCACCAATAGATACTGTTACTCTAGGTGCTGGAGGATATATATGGTATCCGACCCTGTACTGTCCCACCTATAGATACTGTTACTCTAGGTGCTGGAGGATATGTATGGTATCCGACCCTGCACTATCCCACCTATAGATACAGGAACAGATGCAACCTTTGAGTATTCTATCATAGCAAACCTTCTCCTGGTACTTTTTTTTTTTTAATCCGTTGATATTTATCAAAATATTTTCTCACCAATTAACATCCATTTACATAGTTTAAAAAACCATAATCGTTCATTAGCATAAGTCATTTTTAAACCATTGGTATTCGTTATTATGTATTTAACCCGAAGTATTTATTATAATACTTTTGAAAGTAATTGGACATTCGAAATTTAGAGTTTAAACTCATTAATATTCATAGAAGTTGGGATTACACTTATTGATATAAATTATTCATGGTTAATAGAAGCATTGGTTGCCTTTAATAACCATTTGAATGGCTTATAAAACCTCCATTATCCATTTCCATGGCATTAAAACCTGAAAAAAACCATTTGCATGGTTCATAAAACCACTTATATCCATTTTCAGGGCTTTTAACCATTAATAACCATTTGCATGGCTTTAAACACCACTGAAATCCACTGTCATAGCTCTTAAAACCTTTGATATCCATATGCTTAACCTTTGATATCCATATGCTTAACCTTTGATATCCATATGCTTAACCTTTGATATTCATATGCTTAACCTTTGATACCCATTTTTATGGTTCATAAAATCATGTATGATAGATAAAATCATGTCAATGAATATCTTGGTTTACCACAGAGTTTAGACCATCGATTTGTTTCAATATTATATAGAAAAGTATATTTATTTCTATTATTATTCTAGAAGATTTTCCCAATTTTGTCATCCATCTTCCTTACTTTCTTATTTATATCTTCTTGTCAACAATATGAAGGATCAGTAATATTTATTTTCTTTGCTTTTTATATTTCCGAACCTTGTCTACAAATCCTAGAGACCAATTCTTCATCCGGAACTAAGTCTTAAAGGGATTCTTTGTCCACATTCTAAAGAGGGGTTGTTATCAACCTTGATTAGGAATCAATCGGCACTTTTCTATTTCTCTCTGATATGNACTTTTCTTATTTCTCTCTGATATGAGAAGATGAAAAAAAAAAAATATTCTCAACTATATATCTCTATTCTGTATAATTATTCTACTAAAGATCTTGTATTCTCAACTATATATATCTATTCTTTATAATTATATTCTACTAAAGATCTTGTATTCTCAACTATACATATCTATTCTTTATAATTATTCTACTAAAGATCTTGTATCCTCAACTACATATGTCTATTCTGTGTAATTATTCTACTAAAGATATAATATTCTCAACTATATATCTCTATTCTGTATAATTATTCTACTAAAGATCTTGTATTCTCAACTATATATATCTATTCTGTCTAATTATTCTACTAAAGATCGTGTATTCTCAACTATATATATCTATTCTTTATAATTATTCTACTAAAGATCTTGTATTCTCAACTACATATGTCTATTCTGTATAATTATTCTACTAAAGATCTTGTATTCTCAACTATATATATCTATTCTTTAAAATTATTCTACTAAAGATCTTGTATTCTCAACTATATATCTCTATTCTGTATAATTATTCTACTAAATATATAGTATTCTCAACTATATATCTCTATTCTGTATAATTATTCTACTAAAGATCTCGTATTCTCAACTATATATATCTATTCTTTATAATTATTCTACTAAAGATCTTGTATTCTCAACTATATATATCTATTCTTTATAATTATTCTACTAAAGATCTCGTATTCTCAACTATATATATCTATTCTTTATAATTATTCTACTAAAGATCTTGTATTCTCAACTATATATCTATATTCTGTATAATTATTCTACTAAAGATCTAGTATTCTCAACTATATATCTCTATTAGTATTCTAAACTATATATCTCTATTCTGTATACAATTATTCTACTAAAGAGCTCGTATTCTCAACTATATATCTCTATTCTGTATAATTATTCTACTAAAGAGCTCGTATTCTCAACTATATATCTATATTCTGTATAATTATTCTACTAAAGATCTAGTATTATCAACTATATATCTATATTCTGTATAATTATTCTACTAAAGATCTAATATTCTCAACTATATATCTCTATTCTGTATAATTATTCTACTCTATTCTGTATAATTATTCTACTAAATATATAGTATTCTAAACTATATATCTATATTC